TGGTCCTATACAATGTCCGATGATTGTATGCAATGTTATCACGTCATTGTTATACAGATGTTATCACGATTTCTTATACAGTGTTACCACAATTCTTACAGCATGGGCACCACTGATTTGTTATACAATGTACGTTTATCAATCAACATGCACTGGCGTACTAAGGGGGGCGAGCAAGGGGCCATGGCCCACCTGTTATTGCAAACAAAACAAAACAAATGTTTTCCTTGCCGTCTCACAAGGCGTCTTCAGCAGACTGCCAAATTCATGTTAACTCTGCATCTGCTGAACGAACATTCTCTAAAATGCATTGTCAAAGTCTAAACTTCGTTCTAAACAATGACCCAGCACGATTCTCTGCTCTCATTCCACTTTCGTTGAAGCGGATTATGAATGACATTAATGTCAAACGATATCTGCAAAATGCACGAGAAGACTTGACTTTGATTTTGAGATTTTGGCAGCAAACAAAAACATGACTAAAAGAAAAGAGATAATCTCTTTACTATGGCTCAGATTTGTGTTGTTGGGCAATTTGGCTTGATTGAATTTTAGGTTCTGGAACTCTTAATGACAGAAGAAAGAAATGAAATGCTTTGTGAATAACTTTGATATATTCGAACTTATAGACGGCCATTTTGGCATCCACGCTCGGTTTTTATTTCAAATCCGATTCAACACTATTTTAAGTAACTGTTCTTCTAATCCAGGGGAGGCAAAAACAATTCCTTTTCATGTAAAGTTTCCTTTTTATTTTAAATGAGCGGCTATTTTGGCAACTAACCTTTGTTTTTTATTTGAAATCACAATTCAATATGGTTTTAGTTCTTCATCAGATGGAAAGCAAAAACATTTTTTATAACGAAGCAAAGTTAAATGTGATCTTTTAACGCTATTGTATTCTAAACGATGTAAATCTTTGTAATTTAAATAAAGTTGCATGTTATTGCAGTGCAGTTCCAATACCATCTACCTGTTTTTCCGGTAGATCTTTATTTCGATTTCATGTTCAATATGCCTCTACTTTTCAAAAAAAAATAATTCAAACTTTTAACTTTATATGAGGAACTTGAGAACAGTTTATGACGGATAAATGCAACATTGCGATGGTACTGCTACAACACAAATAAACTTAATTCCAATATTCCGATCAGTGGCTTGAATGAGGACATAGGCGTAGCTAAGGGGGGCCCCAAAGAGAGGGACCATTGACCTCTGATCGGAGAGTACAAAAATTAAGAGAGAAGGGCCCTGAATGGGCTTGGTCTATATCCAACTATTAACCTACACGCTAATAATGAAAATGAATGGCGCAAAAAATGCCTTTTGATGCACAATATTTTCAAAAATTACCCTAGCTGTGGGAGGGAAACACCCTCCCCGTTGAGAAATTGCTTCATCGCTGTCTTTGGTCCGCTTAACTCTTTTCTTTCCCTCCGCTGAAAAACCTGGCTTCGTACAGCATTTTCACATGGTCTAAGCTAAGGGTCTCACCAACTGGTCGTGTGTAACTCCGAGCCTTCCGGCGCCACAACCCAGGGGCCATCGTCGCCACGTTGATACGATCGGAGGTAAAAATAAAAAGCGAGGTGAGGGGGGTTATAAGGGATTGGCATATGGCCACTTCTCATATAGAAGTTACCCCTAATACTGATTTGAGTGTGCATAGAAAATGCCATTTTCATGGGCACGAATTTTTAAAAAAGTCTCCCTACCGTGGGAGGGGGGATACCCCTCCAGCACTCCTACCCCCTCGGTCGCTTTCGCTCCTCGGCCTTGGCCCCCCCTGTTTCCAATTGGCTGGCTACGTCCACTGCGTGTGCGTGTGCGTGTGTGTGGCAGCGCGGGCCCTTGGAACGGCAGCTTCTATCGTTCGGTCCATCACATATTGGATTCTCATTCCTATCTTTTTGGGGCAAAATGAAGCTTTTTCTAACTGGCGATGCGGCGCGATGGTTGATCAACTTTGTCGCTTTCCGTTTTCGATATATAGTCCCTTGAGTTGAAGTCAAATCTTTATTCAAGGTATTTTATTAATATTATATATCTATATATAAACTATATTAACATGTGTAATCATGTGATCATATTCTGCAGTAAATGTAATTATAAAACACATTATATCTATGACCATCAGATGACAGCACGTGCCTGTCTATGGTGGATTTTTGATCTGGTACGGTGACCCGGAAGTACATCGGCAAACAGGGTAAAACGAACGAACCATGGGAGCGGACGTAAGATACGGTGTATAGTTTGCCGTTGAACATAATCCCACCTAATGAAATTGCTAGTAGCAAAATACGTATCAAATTAAAATGTTACCAATGGTACATCAGAGAATATTGGATCTCAGCACGAACACTTTGTTGTTGAGATAGAACCTTCAGAAGACGCACTCGAATCAAAGGACCGCTATTTCGGTGTGCTTATTGTTATTTGTTAAAAATTAAAATTGGTTGATTATATATCGTGTGTTGATAATATATATGTTTGACAAGATATATCGTGATACGTTAAGTATAAAACCCAGATAATTGTATTGCCAGATGTCACGATCCGTAACTAATTATGTTACTGAGGCCACAATCCTAGGTTTAGCAAACCCTTGTTGAACACGATTAATTGAGGCACGTTCAATTTGCGGGTCCAAACGGTGTCTGGTCCAATCACTGAATTCAGCCCTAAGATCTAGAATACTAATATCATACCCATGCTACGCTCATAGGGTCCTCTGTCCCCAAGGTAATCTGCCGGGAACGGTACCCCTGGTAGCGGTTCGGTATACCGGAAGTACGCCTAGGTTACCGACTGGCGCCCACAGGTCTTTATGAAAAGTAGAAACACAGAAGGATCAAATCCTCAGTGATAATAAAAAAGAAGCGCCGTAGGCGCTGCATGCTAGGGGTCTGGGGCATGCCCTCCCCCCTGAAAATTTTTGAATGGTAGAACGTCTGGAGAGGCAATCTGGTGAGCTCTTGCGAGAGAAGTATTTAGGAACCAAATGTAGGAAAGCAAAATTGTTTAACAACCAAAATTTACTAGAACACTGTGCTTCAGTGCTTCTATCGCGGGTGCCACTGCTGGTACTATCTAATATGGTTTTAGGGTTAGGGAGTAGACGTAAGGCCGACCCCGGCTAGACCGTTAGTGGAGTAGGCGAGTACGGTCCGGCATATTAGAAAGTACCAGGGTAACGTTCCACAGACCCGAGGGACATAGACCGCTCTCAGCCAACAGCAGAGCCGACCCATACGAAGAGCATAGTACATTATTCTCTAGACCGCATCAAGCAATTAACAGACTGGGCCGATACCAATCGTCATAAAAAAATCGTGTCGCCACTAATCTGTGCTGTGACACGCTGACATGTACGATGAAGCATAACATCAAACATAACAGTTAAATCCACACCCAGATATAGTTTAAATTATATTTTCAAATAGAGAAGATTGTGTTTCCACTACCAGTAACAAGTTTTGTGTGGTTTTTATCTGGGTTTGTATGATGGTAAGTAATGACGACCCATGGTTAAATGATGTTGAAAAGATGTTTTTACGGGCCGACTCTGGTTATGGCAGAGACTGCAGAGGACTCGGCCAGGGGGCTATCGCGTACACCAGGTAGAGCTAGGGGTTCTGTACTAGTGTCTGGGGCCCAGCGTTTGAATTGAGTAAATAGCCGGATACTGTATATACATTCAAGTGGCAACCGTTTAAAACAACCAGTGCAATTTGAAGACACCGCGACGAACTTAATTTTGCTGCGAAAGTAGGTCAGGGGCTTTAAGAGGAGGACATTGTGGCTTTTTTTGAAGATATACAGATGAATTTAAGAAATATGATTCTGTACGGGGTCACCGCTACAGAACCGCTGATGTACGCATACTTAGTGAGTTATTAACTGTAACTAGTAATTTTTAATGTTTTTTATTTATCAGAGCACATATATGATGAGAATGCTCATGAGCTATTTATGCAAAGGCTGATGAGCGAATCAAGAATCATGATAGGGATATTGAGAAAATGTGCAATCTTTCACTATCAAGGTTTATTGATCAGATCCACGAGTTGTTACAACTACGAGTGAGGCAGAACAAGTAAAGGTAGGTTGGCACTGTAATTTACTGCAATCCTGTCCTAAGGGTCGGACACACCTCTATAGAGCAGATACCTCTATAGAGCAGACACCTCTATAGAGCAGATACCTCTATAGAGCAGACACCTCTATAGAGCAGATACCTCTATAGAGCAGAAAAACTAGCGGGGTCCGGGGGGTGTGTTTTTTTTACCGTACCACTAATTAATGCGTAAAATCGCCACCACACCATAGACGGTATTTGGGGTTCTTGTATATATAAGATAGCCAAGTCGGTGTACAGTTAGTGTTGTGTGTGGGACAGGTTAGCTGTTTGTACTTGTGTATTGTCTGCAGTGCATGCGTGGCACGGTAAAAATATACGCGCTGGTTGTCCTGGCCGAATGGGAATTCTTGACGATCGATTCCCGCGCTGGCAAACTTTTATTGTGGTGGAATTTAATCGGGGCGGAGGTAATTTAAACGGGGCGGGACGATTGAAACAGGGGGGAGTTTTCCCAAACGGGGCGCGCGCGCCCCGTTTGCGCAACGTAGGGAGAACCCTGGTGTAGATGAGCTGCCGATCACATGAAGATAAGCATGGCTTCATAATATCATTGTAGGGCAAGGTGCAGACAGTCAATTCTAACCTTCAGCGAACGGGGTCGGCTTTGATTTCCCGAGCAGAGGCTGTGATGCAGTGCCAGCAAATACAAATGAACATCTCGTCAACAATTGAGCGCCTCTCAACTTGCCTACCAGGTGAAATCTGAAAACGTTACTGAATCAGTAGATGTGTTCTACTCATAATTAGAGTTCTTAGTTGTGTGGATTAAAAGGAACTGACTATAAATTTCTATGCACAGGTTTTGTAGGTTGTGTTCATATATATATATATATATATATATATATACACTCTATAGATTCTGGACTTGGCCATGTCGGATGACTGGTCGTCATATCTGGCTGATTTTGGAAAGGACCGTAACAAGTATTCTCTAGTGTCTCCACAGACTGCTGTGGTACTAGTAGAAAAGTAAGTAAGCATATATGTGAAAGAACAGACATTCATGTTGTGGCAATATGGGAAAACCTGTCACTGAAAACAAAAAAACCACGTTCAGTCAATTAACTGGTAATTCAAATTTTTAATTAGTTCTTATATTGACTAGCATGACATTTTTGACAACTAGTCTGTCCTGACGGTTGCGTGCGATTAGAACCAGGTGGCAGTAGGTATTGATGTCTGTTACTCAACCTTAGGACTAATGACAAAACTAATTAAATAATTTAAAATTTACAGTTACCAAGATTTACTTTCGACTTCCTTGATGTTTAAAATTTGAGAGCCATTCTCTAGGTTTCATCAATACATATTTTTACCTTCTATTTTTCTAGGATCAGCAATGGCATGAAGAAAACGGGAGTGTTCACATCGATGAAAAAACCAGAAAAGGAACGAAAGAAGCTGCTGGAAACGGTACTGAAGCAGCTTCGTGCGCTGGTGAACAGCTCAGCTATGATGTGATCATGTGCACACTTACATTGCTATTGCTTTTGTGCAAACGCCACATCTACCTGCTCTCATCAGTGTACGGATGTGATGCTGTGGTAGCAGTGTCATGTAATGTGATGTGCAGTGTTACTGAGGGGTGGTTGTAATATGATTCATACCTAGTGTGTCAGTCTACATAGCCAGGCAAACAGAAATAATGTGTAAGCATTGGCAATGCTAAAATGTGTCATAAAATAATTACCGCAGTTGCATGTACACTGCACGTGTTATAGCATTACTGACTATTGGCTCAATACAATGAACAGCAACATGGATGGATAGGTGAGATGAGGAGGGTGAGTGGACTTCTTAGCAGGCTTTAAATGATGAAGACAATTTAATATGACTGAGTTATGTGACCTGTTGTGGAAACAAATCTGTATTTCACTAGAGAAAAGGCTACTCTCAGTGGTATACCATAATTTTTAGACTGCAGCTTTGTTAGTGTTGGATTGCTATTCCACTACTTGTTTTTGTGCATTGAGGTTTCATTATATGTAATTGTGAATACATGGCAACATAGCAGTCTTGGCAATAACCAAAATATGTAAGAGTTTATCTGATGTTTGAGTTAGTTTGATAACGTAGTTGTCAAATCTTGATTTTTTTTATGTACTTCAACCTTTTATTTGAGCATGGATAAATCTAGAAGCAAGAGTTTATGCGGTATGGCATAGCCATGCTTTCACAGGGATGTGACTTTCTCAAACGCATTTTCGTTTGCTCGAACTGCTCAGATGTTCTATCTCTGGTCGTAAGGTTGATCAAACAAGGAGTAATCTTGTACATTGGCTATTAGGCAGCTAGTTATGACTTGACTAGCAGCACGAATTACAGCATGAACTTAATTGAGTTTGAATTAATTTTATTTTTAGCCTTCACATTTCCAATCGGAGATTTATATATATATATATATATATATATATATAATGTTTTGTGTTTTAGTCGTGTATATGGCCTGTAAATAAGCCAGTCAAATGGCAATCGCTTATGTGTAATCCACTGATAATAAGTTGTAGTGTAGCTGGATATTAACTAATATATGCGTGCGTGCCGGTGTGTAGTCTATTATTTAATTAAATGCTACATTACTTTCTTCTAATGTTTCCCTCACACTGGCTATATATTATGCAATTATATTCATCTGGCATTGTTGGCATTGTTCTCAAGAGTGTTTTGCTACACACAATGTAATCAACAGCAATTTATAATATTGTTTATATATATATTAAATAAATTAAATTCCTTTTATAACTGTGTCTGTATGTGTTTGTATGAATGTAGACATAACAGTTTACAGGGCCGTAGCCTGTGGGGGGAAAGGCTGAGCCGTATATAGTATCTCTATATACGGCTCTGGGGAAAGGGGGGCAGCTGCGCACCCTAGATTTTGGAGCAAAATTAAAAAAATAAGCTTAGCTAATAACCGTAAATAACCTTAACGTGATTTTTTTGTCACTTATCCGTGAAAGCCTTGTCTCAGACCCACCCCTATCACACTATAGACGTCGATCAAGAGCTCAGCTGCGCCCGTCGCTCATCATTACACAGTATAGGCTAGTGGTGAAATCTCAGAAGCCACCTAAGCCTAGTAGTGAAATATCTGCCCTCCCCCCCCCCAGGAATTGCTTAGCCTACGGCCCTGCAGTAACAGCATGTTTTTATTTTCACATGCTCTCACACACACGCATGCACACACACGTTATATATATAGGAACTATTAAATTGTAACCAGATATGTGGCAATGCTACCAAATATAAGGTCTATAGTCTAGTTGCGGGCCGTATCCTTTCAATAGTGAACCAAGAAATTTTTAATAGTTCAAGGTTTTTTTATTGATATGTATTCATATCCATGTCTGGAAGATTTTTAGCTTTGTTGGCACAACGCCAACTTTGGGGAACATTTTTAATTAGCTAATT